CAAAACCTTCATATTTGCAGATTTTTTGTTAATGAATAAATGTCTTTTAACCCATATCAATTTTAATTTCATATCTGTAACAACAACCAATTATTCTATCTGAATCATTCATATCTGTTGATTTTTTGATAATGAATAAATGCCTTTTACTGTATCTATCTCAACTCTAATCCTTTCATTCTAAGCTCTAATTCCATATATGTAACAACTGCTGATTTTTTGATAATGAATGAATGCCTTTTTCATCTTTCACAGCTCCAACTCCATATCCATAACAGCCAAGACAGAATATTCCTCCTAGACATTCATACCTGCAAATTTTTTGTTAATGAATAAATGTTCTTTTATCTATCTTAATTCTAATTCTATATTTGTGACAATAACTAATTCGGAGGATTCCACCCAAATTATTCATACCTGCTGATTTTTTTTGTTATAGCTATTATCATTATTCTTGAGACACCTTATGAAAATTAACTGAATGATTATTCTGCCAATTCGATAAGCTATTAATTTTAGCATGATCAAATGTAGTCTAAAGCCTTTATGTATGTAGGTTTTAAATTGATTACTAATCGATTTGTAAATTAAAACTCAAGTGAAATATATAAAATACTACAAACTTTTAAATGACATCTATTTTCATATCTTAACCAAAGATCCATCTCTGATTATAACTTATACAAATACCAGTCAGGCTTTTCTTCCATTAAAGTTTTAAAAAATATTTATATCATTTAGGTTTAGTAGACATAGTTCTTACAAATCACATAAGTCTTTCAACATATCCATATCTTTAAAGCTGTTTGAGAGCTTGACTTATTGAAGATCCGCTAACACTAAAGTGTTTAACAATTGTTCGAACTGATAATCCTAAAGTTTTTTCGATTATTTTTCAGTGAATATGCTTCAAAAGCATTATACTTAACTAGAATTGAATCGAAATTGGTTATCTGGTCATTATCGATTAATAATTATCACTGCTGCACTATAAATAGAGGTCATTTAAAGGCATGTAGTGTAGTTTTTTATTGTTTCACATATTACAATTTACAAAACCTACGTAAGGCTTTAGACTATCTTTGTCGTTACATTGATCATGCAGAAATCATTAAAGTGTCCTAGGAATAATGATAGCAGCTGTAATGAATGAATGCCTTTTTATTCATTTAAACTATAATTCCATGTTCATAACAATAAACAATCCAGAAAACTTCCCAAATTATTCATACCTACAGATTTTTTGATATTGAATAAATGCTTTTTTATCCATTTCAACTCAAATTCTATATTTGTAACAATAATCACTTCAGAAAATTCAACTCGGATTATTCATACTTTTTGATTTTTTGATAATGAATAAATACCTTTCTTTATCTTTCTCAGCTCTAATTCCATATTCATAATAATCAAGACAGAATATTCCTCCTACTCATTCATTTTTGACAATAAATGAATGATCTATCTAAACTTTAACTCAATATTCATAATAGGTTTTGTCGATCAATTCCAGACATCCCAAATAAATTATCAATAATCAAGTATATGATCGACAAAACCGATAACTAATTTAGAAAATTCTGTCTGAATTATTCATACCTGTAGCTTTTCTGATAATGAATTAATGCTTTTTCATATCAGCTATAATTCTAACTAAACCAAAAATATTCCTATTAATCAATAAAGACAGAGACATGGTCTCACCATTAATATTCAAAAAAAAAAAATATTCCTATTAATCATTCATACTGACAGATTTTTTGTTAATGAATGAATGTCTTTTATTCAATGTCTATAGCATTAACCAATTTAGAAATCCTATTCAGATTGTTCATACCTTTGATTTTTTGATAATGATAAATGCTCTATTCATTCTTCTCAACTCTAACTCTATGTCCATAACAACTAAAGCACCTACTCATTCATACCTGCAAATTTTTTAATAACTAATGAATGTTTTTATCTATTTCAATTCTAATTCCATATTCATAACAAATAACCAATCCAAAAGATTCCACTGGATTATTCATTTCGGTTGCTTTTTATAATGAATTAATGCTTTTTTTCATTCTTATCAGTCCTAATACCATATCTGTAATAACTAAAACTGAATATTCCTATTAATAATTCATGCCTGCAGGTTTCTGATAATAAAATGAATGATGCTTTTTTTATCCATCTCAACTCTAACTTCATATTTGTAACAATAGCTAATCCAGAAAATTCCATGAGAATTATTTATACCTGCTGTTTTTTTTTTTTTTGATAATGAATTAATGCCTTTTTCATCATTACCAGCTCTAATTCCATATCCGTAACAATCAAGACAAAATATTCATCCTAATCATTCATACCTGTAGAATTTTTGATCATTAATAAATGTTTTTTTATTCATCTCAACTCTAATTTTATGTTCATAACAACCATCCAGAAAATTTCATACAGATTATTCATACCTGATTTTTTGATAATGAATTAATGCCTTTTTCATCGTTATCACTCTAATTCCATATCCATAACAATCAAAACAAAATATTCCTAATCATTCATACCTGTAGAATTTTTGATCATAAATAAATGTCTTTTTATCCACTTCAACTCTAATTCCATATTTGTAACAATAACCAATCCAGAAGATTCTATTCAGATTATACATATCTGCTGATTTGTTTGATAATGAATAAATGTCTTTTTTATCCTTCTTGGCTATAATTCTATATCTGTACCAACTAAAACAGAATATTCCTATTAATCATTCATACCTATAGATTTTTTGTTAATGAATGCTTTCATCCACCTCAACTCTAATTCCATGTTTGTAATGATAACCAATCTAGAAAATTTCATACAGGTTATTTATACCTGCTGATTTTTTGATAATGAATCAATGCTTTGTTTTATCATTATCAACTCTAATTCCAATATCTAACAATCAAGACAAAATATTCTTAACAATCCACACCGCAGATTTTTGTACCTGAAGATTTTTTTGTTAATGAATAAATATCTTTTTATACATCTCCATATTCATAACAATAACCAATCCAGAAAATTACACCCAAATCATTCATATCTGTGATTTTTGATAATGAATTAATGATCTATTACAGATTTTTGATAATGAATAGCTTTTTCTATTTTCAGCTCTAATTCATACCTGTAACAACCAAAATAGAATATTCTTATTTATTTGTACTACAAGTTTTTCGATTATGAATAAATGCCTTTTTAATTCCATATTCATAACAATAACCAATCCAGAAGATTCGTTTATACTTACAGATTTTTGATAGTGAATGAATACCTTTTTCATCCTTCTTGGCACTAATTCTGTATTTGTAATACTAACTGGGCTAAAATATTTCGGGATTATTTATATCTACAGATTTTTTGATATAAATGAATGCTTTTTTATCCTTTTAACTCTAATTCTGTATTCTCAAACTAGAATGTTACTTATACATATAGATTCTGCTAATAAATGGCAACTTTAATCCTTCTCAGCTAATTCAATATTCGTATCAATAACTAAAATTATTCCGTGTAGATTATTCAACCCTGCAACGAATGAGTGCCTTATTTTAGTCATTAATTACAATAAATATGTTAGCAAAGAAATATTTTACATTACTATATGTATATATATATTTGAATCAGTTAGAATTATGTATTCGTTTTGGACTAGAATGATTTCTTAAAGGTGGATAGTTAAGTGAATTAGTGGTTCATTTACTTTTGAATTAAGACTTTAATCTAAAAAAGATAGATAGATATGCAAATCGGTTACTCATTGTAATTAATGAGAATTTTGATATTAGGTCAAATAGTCATAACCTACGAAATATGATTTAAATTCCTAGAATTATATATTCACTATAAAAAGTACTCACATAATTACTATAAATAAAGATATTATATCATTCATAATTAAATTCTGATCTAAGAATAAAACACTTCCATGCTAACATTACTATTATTGATTATAGTTGTCCATTTACTTAACAAAAAAAAAGAAAGAAAGAAGCTTTTTTAACTCTAAACAATAAAGGCTTCAAAATAATAGTCAAATTTATTAAGTTATACAGACTCAAACATTTAAGACTACTTCTATAATTACTTTTTTTTCTCACCCAACCTATATCCTCTCTATTCCCTCTAGTTCTTGCAAGTTGGTGTATAATGTTCAACTACCCCACATTTGTCACATTTGTTTTGCGTAATAGGCTTTTTGCTTTTAACTTGTTCAAAGCTACTCTTAAGCTGCTTAACCAAAGGTCTTCCTTTCTGTCGGCGTTCAATTAAATTTTCAACTTAATTAGGATCAAAATCCTTTTTGTTATTATTGTTAATATTTGTTAGCCTTTGTTCTTCAGCAAACCAATCGTTCAGACTTTTTTTAAGATGACAAAGGGATTCACCACCCATTTCGACTGCAGACTGAACCGCCTTCTAAGCAAGATTAAAAGTTTCTCTATAATCATGTCATTTCTAAACTGCATAGCGAACTTCAGAACTAAAACATCATTACCACAAAACTTGGTAATCTGGCGCATAGAAAAAAGTTTGAAGCAAAGTAAGTAACTTTTTCTTAATTGTGCTATGCCATTATTCTTTATATAGGGTTGTTCATCTAAGCATAAATCCTGCATTTTTTCATTTTTATACCAATGTTTAGAAATAAGTGTTATATGAAAGAATGCTACACTATCAATAGAAAATATATGTCAAAAATGTCAGCAAACTAAGCCGTGATTAACAAGAAACATGCATATGCATAAGTGGGAATAATCAACAAGAATAATAACAAAGTTAATATAGACGCAATTATGTTGTCAAATTCTATATATTTTGATAATTTCATTTGAAGGAAGGTCTGCTATAAGAGAATTCAAATGAATTTGTTGTGTATCATATTCTTTCTCACTAGGTTCAGAAGCAGGTAATTCATCACTTTCCATTACTATGTAGTAATATAGCGATTGTGTAATTTTATGTCTTTGTCAGGAAAGCATTTCTTCAGTAAGGTATTCGTTGAGAATACAGTCAATTTCGGGAAAACATTCTGCAGAAGCGCCACTCAACTGCACACTTGCATTAGCATGGTACCACTCATTATAGTTAACATATTGTGTCTTATCACAAAGCCAAAGATCTAGTATAGCAGCAAGTTTGCAAAGACTGAGATGACCTTGAAGAACGCTTTTTATTACTAAATTTTTACTTTTAGCATGTGAGGTTGATGAGATTCCAGCTGTGAAAATTTAGTTGTATATACTTTAGCCCACCTTTCTTTACTAGGATAGAGCTCATAATTGAGGTAATGAGCTGTATTAGGATACGTCGCAATAAGCTTACACCATTAGGCATCAAATCTAGCAGGAGAAAGAGCATTCCGGTACAAAAAAAAATCTTTTACAAAATCATTATAGGCACTACCAAAAGGTGCTTTAAAAATAAGTATAAGATTTTGAGAAATGTGATATATACAATGCAAAGGATATGCATCATAATAGATACTGTCTATAGCAGCATCTATTCTAAGATCGGCATTAGTAACAAATACCTGCAGTGCATGATTTGTTGCTTGTAAGGTAGAGGTAAGGAGCCACTCGTAAGTTTCTTTGGTTTCATCATTTACCAAAGCTTGTGCAACAAGCTGGGTGCAAATATGATTATCAACCACTATAAATAGGGAAAGTGGCATATTAAACTGGTTGGTTTTATATATATTATCATTTAATATAACATCATGGTAAGTAATCCATAATCGGACTTGCTCTGGTGACATCCAAAATAATTTGTCCAGGCTATTGGTTTTATGGTGAAGTTCCCAAAATATTTCCCATCCTGGTTCCTCAGCTTTTTTGGTAAGTAGCTGTTTCAGTAGTTTTGATGCATCATTTTCTTCATAATTAGTTACTTTGTATCTTTGTATTAAATTTTGTAAATCACATAGATATATCGTAATCTCAGGAAACTTGGCTGACAGAAGTCTGTGCTAAATTATTGCACTAAGATTTCTTTGGGCCGTATAAAAGCAGATTTCTCATATGACGGCTTCAGGTAGTGTTTAATTTTTGGTAGCATATGAGTTAATCATAGATTAAGCAGATAATTGTGTTTAAGGTTTAATGATATTATGTTAACAATTGCAGCTTTTTTTGAAAAGGTAATATTAACGTGCCAAGAGCACCCAGACCATTTTGATTTACTATTTTTTTAGTTCTCTAGAATTACAGATTTTTTAGGTACATAATTGCCTTGATGATCATATGCATAAGTGCGTCGTCTACAAATTTTCTCTGATGAAGAATCTCGATCATTTTTAAGTTTAATAATTACAAAATTCTTCCACTAGGCATAATCATTAAGATATTCATCAGCACACTCCCAAGTATTGAATGTTTGTCCAACAAAAGGTGGCGCCAAGATCTGTTCACTATAGTTAAGATAAAAAATAAATATTAGATAAGTTAGTATCATATTAATTATTTGAAGCTAAATAAAACTTGAGTACTATATTTTGTAGATATGGTAGTTTGGTCTTCTAAATATATCATTTCAATACCATTTTCTGATTGTATATCATTATCAAACTGTATTATTTCGCCATTATATGGTTGGGCTTCATCGTTATTGCTAGGTTGAATTACTAATTGCACTTCATTGTTATTATTAGGCTGGATTATTGGTTGTGCCTCATAGTTATCGCTAGGAAGCATTAATTCATGGTTATTAAACTGAGTTATTTCATTATTACTAGCCAGCGCCATTTTATTACAGTTATTATAGTGGTGGTTAAGCCTGTAAAAATAAGTAAAGTAATTAATTTACACTAACCTTCTATAAAAGAAACAAGAAACAATGAAAAGACATTTGTTTTTTTCAATTACTTATCTGTCAACTAATAGTTTACGAAAGATATATCTAAACCCTCATGATTGTTGCTAGTAGTATTTATAGTGGTTATTCTTACAGTTACTTATTACTATATGGGTTAGTTATTGTTACAATTATGGTTGCCACTATTGTTATAATTATGTTGCCTTTTGTTATAGCTTTGCTATGGTCCTTGTTGTGATCTTTGCCGTGATTTTTGCTGTGATTTTTGCTGTGACCTTTGTCGTAGTCTTTGCCGTGGTCCTTGCTGTGGTTCCTGCCGTGGTCCTTATTGTAAGTTTCTTTGTTGTAGATTTATTTGCTGTGGGTTTTTTGCCGTGGCCAAAGTCTTTACAATTATTTCTATCGCTATTGTAAAAAAAAAGATCGTTAGTTATCTCTGTATTATATTGTACATATTGCTGATTGGTCAAAATGTATAATCACATACTATCTTGAATTATCACATAATTGCACATATGCATTCACGTGATCAGGGTTTGTCACTGCCAGTGACAAGCATATTTTTTCAATAAGTTAATATAAAAAAAAAATTTTTTTAAAATTAAAAAAGTTTTTATTAAGTTAGAGTCTGTTGGGCTTTTAAGTAAAGTTGTAGAGAAGATTTTTCTGGTTCTAATAGTGGTTAGATCATTAAAATTGGCTTAGTAGATCCCAAGATATTTGGAGTTAAACGTGCAAATTAGTGTTACAAGCCAGCTGGAGCAGCCACGGCTAAAGCAGCTTAGCCGGCTAAGCTAGTGTTCCAAATCGTTAGTTGAAAAATCAACTAGTTGCCAACTTTCCAACTAGTCGATTTGAAAAAATTTTAAAC